ATATACTATGTAATTGCTAAAATCCTGGTCTTTACAGTTCTCAACTTTACATATTGAGAATTTGTTGCCATTCCACCATTTAAAGGAAACATCTTGTCTCTCCCACCAGAAAACACAGATACAGCCAGGAACAAAGGTTTTCTACAACCAACTCTCACAATGAATTTCTCCTGGAATTTGGTGCTGCAAGAATTTTGGTTGAGTTCTTAATGACCTGATTTTCTGTATGACACAGTCAGTGCCTAAAATAGGGAATTAAAAACTGCATTTAGAAATGGTTTTGATTCATTGCATACCAATTGTATTAACAAACACGTTGTTGGAATTCAATAGGCATCCAGGGCTAGAAAATTCTCATTTTTCTTCCCCAGTGAAATATTTTATAGAAGAAAAAATATTAATATATTCCATAAATACCTATCTTTTTGCCTCTTGTAATGGTATGTCATCCAAGCTTTATGCTTTTGTTTTTTTGCAGACAAAGAAAGCACATTTTGGATTTCAAACATAAAGGGGAACTAGTAGAGGCTTTAAATTAAATTAGGGAAATAAACCATGACGTACTGCTCTTCCTTCTTTGCTCAAGAGATTGCCAGTCAGCTTATTTGATGGATAGTTACCTTTGTACCTTCTCAGGCTTTGTATGCTGGCAAGATACCACGTCCTTGAAAAAGATGGGAGAGAATAAGCAAACATGAATTAGGGATGGAAAGCCCTGAAGAAGATATTAAGATTCCCTTTGTACATCTTCGAAGGAAGGCCAACAAGGTCCATCACAGCCTGGAATTCCATATTACGCTTTTGATTTCACAAATTAACAGGCTTTGAGCAGTCAATGGAGCATGTGAATCAGTAAGACGTGAAGTTTGTCAGAGGAAACGACTGCTTAGAAAGAATCCAAGCGTCTCTAAGTTTGTAGAAGAAAGTACACTCTGGTTCTATGAAATCAAAGTTGTGGGTTTAATGGGCTAATGTGACATAGATGAAAAATTGTGTTCTAAAGCCAGCAACTGTACCCTTAGCTACAGCTAGCAGTTTCATAAATGCTGACTGATGGCACAAAAGGTATAATGGGTAATACAGGATGGTTAGCTCGGTGCCAATCCATCCTTACTGTTGAAAACAAGCTCAAAATGCAATATGACTGACGGTATACCAAATATGAATGCCTTTTGCACGTTACTCTGGCCTTGACATGTTCCAACTGCTCTGACTGCTCCTGGGCACTGGGCAAGAAGATGAGTAAGAATACAGTCCATCACATCTACTGAATGGTTCAGTGGCCTTAAAAACACATTTTACATGTCACATAAAAACATGTCACATGGGGCCAGCCCCGTGGCAGAGTGGTTAAGTTTGCGCACTCTGATTCAGCGGCCCAGGGTTCAGATCCTGGGTGCAGACGTGGCACTGCTCATTAGGCCATGATGAGGCGGTGTCCCACATACCACAACTAGAAGGACCCACAACTAAAATATACAACTATGTGCTGGGGGGATTTGGGGAGGGAAAAAAAAAAAGCAGGGAAAAAAAAGAAGAAGATTGGCAACAGTTGTTAGCTCAGGTGCCAATCTTTAAAAAAAGAAAAAGTCACATAAAAACACATTTGTTAGGCTCCCTCTAATTGCAAGACACATCATAAATACCTAAACAATGTACTTTGTAAATGTAAGTAGATATTTTAACTTAAAAAATAGTTTCAAAAACTGGAGTTAGTGTGCACCAAGGGCAAAATAAGGCACAAACTTGACCATTCCAAGACCCGAACAATTTCAAATTCAGGTTAACTTTTTCTTTTTCACTTAAAGTAAGAAACAGTCAGCTACAGGACCAAGATTAGAAAGCTAACATGCTCTGAAGAAAACTCCTATGTTAACAACTGAAATAAAACCTTAATTTTAAAAGCTCCTTATTATGGAAAAATTCAAACGTCCACAGAGTAAACAGAACAGTATAAATTAACCCACATCATTCTCCTGCACCATCACTCAGCTTCATCAATTATCAGTTCAATTTTGCTTTATCTAGACCCCTACCTTGTGCTTTTTCTTGCTATCAAGTCACTATATCTCTAAACGTTTCAGTAAAACCTTACAATTCTGATTGAATGTTGATAGAATTTTGGGGGTTTTGTGTTTTATTTTTCATTGCCTTTAATTTTGAATACTTATGTCAGTGAAACAGTGGAAAACTGGTGTTTATTGAAAGCAAGGGGAAGAAAATTTAGATTTTTCCATTTTTCTGGAATTTCTGGGACCTAAATACAGTGGTAAACTTTTCTCCTCCTTTCACTGAAGGAGGGGACAGAGCTACCAAGATACAGTCACTCAATTTAACAAACAGTAATTGAGTGCTAGGGATGGGGCTAGGTAAAAATGAGTAAAACAAAGACTCTATCTAGAATGGGTGAGACAGACACATAAACAGATAATGTCAATGTAATGTGGAAAAGCTGGGATAATGGTATTCACAGGTTACTATGGGAACAGAGAATAAGGGCAAATTAGGTATTGAAGAAAGGCTTCCAGGAAGAGATGACATCTGAGTAAATGCAAAAATACTGCAAAGATTGTTACTATGTCATTATAATAAGCCCAATGTCAAGTCTCCTTCAAACAGATTTCCTTCCTTTAGGTGGTTGGTGAATTAGGGGGTAGAGGGGAAGATTCTTCAAAGAATATTAGTCTGGGAAGAGAGTGAAATACCAAGAATTAAAAAAACAACCACTATATCACACCTTGTGGGGAATACCAAAGGGAACAAGGCTTGGTCTCTACCCTCGAGGAGGTAGGAACCTAGATGGAGAGAAATTAAACATGCATTAGAAAACTTTACTATATGATATTTAATCAAAATACAGAGTGTAGGGATGGGAAGAATGGTGTGGACTGAAATATTTGAGTAAGAACTAGAACTCAAATCAAAATTCTGAATATAAATTTAACCCAGATCAAAAAAGGAAGCCATCAGGTAAAGAATAGGAAAAGGTGAGTCTTAAGTGGTCAAGGAGTCTTAGTCTTTAAAAAGTCTTTCTTGGGGGCTGGCCACATGGCATAGTGTTTAAGTTGGGTGCGTTCTACTTCGGTGGCCTGGGTTCGTGGGTTCGGATCCCAGGTGCAGACCTACCCACTCGTCAGCCATGCTGAGGCTGAGACCCATATACGAAACAGAGGAAGACTGGCACAGATGTTAGCTCAGGGTGAATCTTCCTCAGCAAAACGAAAAAGTATTTCTTCATTCTGTCCAACTTTGGGTTGATTGAGGCAGTAAGGGGAAGGTCAAGATCTTTTATCTAAACCTTGGTCTCCAAAGAGTTGTGTGAGTGTGTGTGCTTATGTGTGCATTGTCTATGTTAGTTTCAGAGCATGAAGATTTGATTTGAGAATTTACAATTTGATTCTAACTTATTCCACTGGAATAATGCACAATGTCAGATGCAAATACAAAGATCTAGTCTAGTAGATATGTGATTCTTGGGGAGAAAATAAAAACTAAAATCCATAAAAATAAAAGTCATAAAAGACACATAGGAAAATTCAATCAACACTATAAGATAATGAAAAAATATTTTCCAATCATCCTCAGAGATCAATGGCTCACCATTTACAAAATTTTATTTTATTTTTATTGTTTTATTTTTTGGTCAGGAAGATTTGCTCTGAGCTAACATCCGTTGCAAATCTTTCCTCTTTTTTTGTGTGTGCTTGAGGAAGATTAGCCCTGAGCTAACCTGTGCCAGTCTTCCTCTATTTTATACGTGGGTCGCTGCTACAGCATGGCTTGACAAGTGGTGTAGGTCCATGCCCCAGGATCCAAACCTGCGAGCCCGGGCCACTGAAGCAGAGTGTGCCAGACTGAACCACTACACCATGGGGCCGGCCCCTACAACTTTATTTTTAATAACAACAACAGTGTCAGCTCACACTTATGGAGCATCTACTACACAGCAAGCTTTATATAATTGACTCATTTAATCCTCAAAATGAGTTATGAGGTAGATACTGTTCCTCTCATTTTATAGAGGCGGTAACTGAGACACAGAGAGATCTATCTAAAAGATATTTTAATTTTCCTCCACTCCAGTTTTTCAAACTTCCCTTGTCAGAATTTAGGTCAGAGGTTAAAAAAAGACATGTAGGTATATTGCAAGTATAGGTTGAAATCTAATATTTTTATGAATTCAGAAAAAATACTTACATCCTTCATTGACTTAAATAAAATAATGTGTGATAGTATGTTGGCACAGAACCATAAACATAAAGGTTAAATCAACCCATGAGGCTAAGACATAGAGCTGCAATAGAAACATGCTCTAAAAATGGCATGTTTATCAAAAGACCAAAGAATAGTCTCTGAATATTTCCCATGGGATTGAGGAATGCATCTTTTTCATAAAACTTAGACACACAGAGAACATAAATTGTAATAAATGACCATATCATATACAGCAATAAAGTTGGCCAGTAGTAAAAAATCATTTGAGATAACTTTTGTCCCTACTGAACAGTAGAAATATATTACTCCCCAGGTAGAGTTAGTTGCTTTTTCTTCCAAGCCCTGAAAGCACTTTACACGTAGCTATCCCCAGCATTTATATTATATTACATTATAATATAATTAACTGTTCATGTAGTAGTCTTCCCTCCAGACTATGAATCCTTGAGGACAGCGTCTAAATTTATTCATCCTGGGATTTGCAAAGGCTCAAAAAACTTACTCTTATGCACTCTTTCTCAGGCATCTATTAGATGGCGTTCATACAAAACAAGGTAACAAACAAGGAAGACAGGGAATCCAGGAAACAGGAAACCCAAAGGTTCTACTTATCAATCCATATTAAAAGTGGTCCTGAACTTATGGGTTTTAAGAAGATCAAATCCATACGAAGGCCTTCCATGGATTTTTGAAATATTAAATCATTTCATGTGCTTTTAGCTTTACACAGTTATACTTTTACAGCAGCACGAGGATAAAAGAGGCTTTGGGATTTTAACTCTTACCTGTAATACAGCAGCAAATAAGTATACTACTATGAAGATTACAGTTAAAGAAGTGTGACCGCTTTTCATCAAATGAATAGTGTAGAGGAAAATTAAATGTCCAGGAATCACTAAAAGCAGCAGAACTTGAGCAGACTTATTATTTACTCCTGTAATATAAAATGTAAAATTTGTCAAAGTCATATTTTGGTTAATAATAGGTCACAGTTATTAAAATTTGAGTTACTTTCTAGTTACTATACTACATAGCATCACATAAAATTCAACTGCTAAAAGTAAATTTCAGCTATTTATAATTCACCTAATTCTTTGAAACTCTCATTGTATGATATATGTTAATTAAGTGAAAGGTGGTTGATAAAAACTTGCTATGAAGAACATTGGTCAGACTTGACTATCATAAAAACAGAGAGAAGACAAAAGAAAAAACATAAAGTTTTAAAGTACTAGAATGTTTTAATTTTACTTTTCCTTTAGAGTTCTCTCACTGAGATTACAAGGCTGGGCATTCCTGATCCTCATTCAAAAGTTACTAATTACGTTTATTTTCATCAGAAAAAAAAGGTGACAAGAACTGTGAGGTTTAAAATTGTGATCTTAGGTTTTTGGCAATCACGTGCCTGGGTGACATAAATAACGGACTGTTCTTTGTAACTGAGGTTATCACTTTCCATCCTGTTTATTTGGGATCAAATGCCCATGTTCAGAAAGACCAAAAAGATTAATATAGGAAAGACAGTACCTCTGTCTCCCTAAATCACCGAGCTTTCTCATACGCATAAATTTCCTCCTTCCTGACTCATAAACAAGTCATCCCAGAGAAAGGAGTAAAAGAGAAAAATCATACAAAGTTCCTCAGCAACTGCAGAATTGATACAGATGACTTTTTGTTCACTGAGAGTTAGTGAACAAAATCTATTCTATTTAAAATCTATTTAGCTCTCAGAAATAGAAAAGTTGTGCAACACTCACAAACAAAATATGTATTCAACGAATGTGGCCTGCCTATATTCTTAGAGAGGACTAGTTCCTGAAATAAAATATGCAAAAATCCACGAGCACGCACCTGGGCCAAAAAAGGTTCTAAATGGGTAGTAACAAGCTTTGGGTTCATCAGGCAATTCTCCTGGAATGCTATGTAAATGGAGGTAGGTAGAAATCCTGCTAGCCTGAATGGCCACCAAATTACCACCGATCCCTGAAACATAAGGAGAAAGAAACAAAGCAGTTATCCTCATATTTTAAACAACCTGCATAAATTCAACCAAATGCAAGCCTCTCCCGTCAGATCCTGGGCTAAGAAAACAAAATAGAGTTCTTCTGAAATGTTGATCTATTTAATGTTGAGGTAGGGATTCCAAAGGCATAAAATTATTGTTATGAAAGACTCATTCATTAGTTTTCAAATCTGATTCACTGTCTGGTCTGAAAGCAGACTAGAGCAAGTAATTTTTAAAAATTACTATCACAACCAAGATATAAAACTAGGTAACAAGATGTTTCACATTTATCACTTTAATGAGAGACTATGCTAAATTTATTCAAATAGACTTGGCTTGATACTTTTCTTCTCAGGTTATGAAAGAAATTGGTGTAAGGCACTGAAAAAGAAAACCCTCAAGAAAGTCATCTTTTAACCTAGATTATCCTCTCACATACTCCGAGGAAGAGGAGTTGAGCGAAGAGGTGAAATGAATTCCAAAGGGTGGTCTGCCCTTCTAGGTTGAGACAGACTATGGCAGGAAGAGGGAGTAGCCATAAAATCAAGTAGGAGGAAACAACTGAAAATTTCAAGTTTGTCCATGCTAAGTGGGGGCTAGCATAACCATTTAGAATACCTGGGAGCCCTAGACACAAGGGGAGTCCACATTCACTTGCCGGCTATTTTCGCAGGCCTCCACTGGGTGCTTGTGAGACAGACTGAGGTAGGGCAGAAGACTTGAGATAACCAACCTTGGTGGCACACAGGCAAGAAATCCCATCCATTTCTGAACCTTTCTCACATGTGAAGCAAAGATGCTTGGGGAGGTGGAGGAGACACTGTAACCATGGGACCTCTAGAACCAGTTCAACCTACCCCATTTTATCAACAGAGTAATGAAGAGTGGTTTTTCAGGAACTGAGAAATGACTCCTTGTCCAATTCAGGCCGATTGAGACCACCAACCCATCAGCTGGGCCTGCGCAAATGCCCAATAAGTGACCCTTTTGAAGTCAAGGGCTGAAAACTCCACCCTCAGATCATACTAACACCACCATTTTGTGAACATGTGTCCTATGAAGAGGCATGAAGTTTGATTACACTTGCACAGATCATCAATTACCTCACTTCTCCTTACCTCCAATCATCTGTCTCCACAGTTCAGACTCTGCCCTTCAACCCATGAATTTTACCCCAAGCCCTGGATCAAGGAGATGGATCTGAGAGCATATGCCTCTTGTCTCCTTGCAGATCAATCTAGCAATAAAACTGTTTCCTCTTCCCAAAAGCTGATGCCATAACAATTGGCTTTTTTTTTTAATGCATGTCAAGTAGGAGAACCCCATTTTTATGTGGTAACAATACTCTAGCTATCTGGTCCCAGACAAATATCAATTGTCACTGGAGGAAAAACAGAAGCAGAAGCTGTCTGCTGCTGGAGTGGAAGAAAATCTTCTTGCTCAAGACTAATCTGGCAGAGTTTGACTGTCAATAGGGCAAGGGGAAGAAACATTGAGAAACCCCTACCTCTGAGGACCAAGTGCACAGGGACTGACTATGATTGAGGGTAGAGCAAGAGAATCCCAAACTCCATGCCATGCTTTGCATCAAGTAACAAGCATCAGCAGCCTACAGTGGGAAGAGGTGCAAGAACACAGAGAGTTAAGCCTTCCGGGCTGCAGGCATACAGCTCTCCAGGCTTCACACAAAGCATGAGGTAGCAGGAATCCATCGAAAAAGAGATTTGAGGGGCTGGCCCCGTGGCCGAGTGGTTAAGTTCGCGCGCTCTGCTGCAGGTGGCTCAGTGTTTCGTTGGTTCGAATCCTGGGTGCGGACATGGCACTGCTCATCAAACCACGCTGAGGCAGCGTCCCACATGCCACAACTAGAAGGACCCACAACGAAGAATATACAACTATGTACCGGGGGGCTTTGGGGAGAAAAAGGAAAAAATAAAATCTTTAAAACAAAAAGGAAAAGAGATTTGAAGCCAGTGGTGCATTGAAGGTAACTATAATAACCACAAAAAACAAACCCAGCTCAACTACTGACTAGACTGACTCAATCCTCCAAACTAACAACCTGACAGAAGAAAAAGCCTGCCTATTTTTAGGCATGAATAATATATATGTCAATCTCCAATGTTCTTTTATACACAAAGTCCAGCATTCGATAAAAGTTGATAAGACAGTAAAAAGCAATAAAGAAAACAGACTATTGTCAGAAGTTAAGAAGTCAACAGAAGCAGACTCAGAGATGACTCAGGTGTTGAAACTATCTGACAAGGATTTTAAAATACATGTGATTAACATGTTAAAGGTTCTGGTGGAAAAGATGTATAACACGCATTATTAAAAGATGGGGACATAAACAGGTTAAAAGTGTAAGTATGGAAAAAGGTATACCATATAAATACTAGTGAAAAGAAAGCTAGAGTGGCTATATCAATTTCAGAAAGAAAAAAACGATTTTATAACATAGAATACTACCAGGGATAAAGACAGACATTGAATAATGGTTGAAGAGGTCAAGTCACGAAAAAGACATAACAATCCTGGATATAAATGCACCTAAAAATAGATCTTCAAAATACATAAAGCAAAAACTGATAATCTAAAAAGAAAAACAGGCAAGTCTGTGTTTATACTGAGGTTTTACCACTCTTCTTTCATTAATTGATAGAATACATAGATTTAAAAAATCAAAACTATACAGAAGATTTGAACAATACTATTAATCAACTTGGTCTAAATGACACTTATAGAACACACTGCCCAACAACAGCAGAATATAAATTCTTTACAGATGAACACATGGAACATTCATGCAGATAGACATATTATTAGCCATAAAATAAGTCTCAATAAATTTGAAATGACTGGAACATATAAAGTACATTCTCTGGCCACAACAGAAAAGATAGATATCTGGGAATTCCCCAAAATATTTGGAAAGTAAACAATACACTTCTAAATAACCCACAGATCAAAAGAAGAAAGCACAAGGGAAACTGAAAAATATTTTGAATTTAATGAAAATGAAAACACAACATATTGAGAATCGTGGGAGGCACATAAAGCAGTACTTAGAAATCCACAGCATTAAATACTTAAATTAGAAAAGAAGAGTGATTTCATATCAGTGATCTAAGGTTCCCATCCCAAGAACCTAGAAAAAAAGAAAAAATTAAACTGAAAGAAAGCATAAAGAAGGAATATAACAGCACAAATCAATGAAATAAAAAACAAAAACAATAGAGAAAATAAATGAAACCAGAAGTTGATTCTTTGAATAGATCAAGAATAGAAGAGAGAAGACACAAATTCCAACATCAAGAATGAACGAGGAATCAGCATTACAGACTACGCAGGAATTAAAAGAATAATATGGTATATCATGAACAACTTTATGCCAGAAAATTTGATAGCTTAGATGAAGTGGAAAAATTCCTTGAAAAATACAAACTATGAAACTCACTTGACAAGAAACAGATAACATGAATAGCCCTATATCTATGAAGCAGTGGTTCTCCTCTGGGAGTGATTTTGCCACCAATTCTCCCCTCCCCTCAAAAAAGATTTGCCAATATCTAGAAACATTTTTGGCTGTCATAATTTGGAGGTTGCTACTGGCATCTAATAGGCAGAAGCCAGAGATGTTGCTAAACATCCTACAATGCACAGGAAGTCCCCCCATAATAAGAAATTATCTGGCCCCAAATGTCACTTGTGTGAAGATTGAGAAACTCTGTATTAAAGAAATTGAATTCATTGTTAAAAACTTGCTCACAAAAAAAACCCTCCAGGGCCTGATGCCTTCACCACTTGGAAACTGAGAGAATATGCCTCTAAATAACCTGTGAATTAAAGAAGAACTTGTAATAGAAACTAGAAAATATTTGTAATTGAATGGAAATTAATTACTACATACAAAAGCATGTGGGATGCAGATAAAGCAGTATGAAAAGGCACACTTCTAGACTTAAATGCATATATTAGAAAAGAAGGAAGGCTTATTGAGCTAAGCATCCATTTCAAGAAGTTGGAAAAGACAGAAAAATAAACACAAAGTAAAAGAAGGAAAACAATGAAAAGAGAATAAATTAAGAGGATCATAAAGCAAAATATTAGTTACTTGGAAAGAAAAAAAGAGTAGGTACAAACAATAGGAACCAAAACAAAGGGAGTCATAATTCCAATTATTGCCAACATTAAAAAAATAAGAATAGTATGAACAACTTTATGCCAATAACCTTGAAAATTTAAATAAATGGGAAAATATCCTAAAAATATATAACTTAAAGTTAACTCAAGAAGAAACAGAAAATTTAAATCATTCTATAATGATTAAAGAAACAGAATCTAAAGTTTAAAATCCTCCCCCGCAAATCACAAGGCCCACAAAAGCTGATTGCTTTGTTGTTCTTTTTTTTTGCCAAGTGAGTTCCACCAAATATTTAAATAAAATCAATGACAATCTTACATTACTTTACAGTAAAAAATAAGAGTAAGTATATCTAGCTCATATAATGAGGCTAGCATAACTCTGGGTTCAAAATCCAACAATGACAATACGAAAAGGGAAAATTATAGGCCGATCTTATGAATAAAAATAAATGTAAAAAAATTAAACAAACTATTAGCAAACCAAATCCAGAAAAGTATTAAATGTATAATACATTACAACCAAACTAGATTTATCCTAGAAATGCAAGGCTGATTTAATATTTGAAAATAAATTAATGCAATTCAACACATTAACAAATGAATGGTGGAAAAGTATGATTACATGAATAAATGCAGAAAAATTGATAAAATTCAACATTTTATCATTTATGATTATAAACTCTTGGCAGATCAGCAATTGAGGGAGATTTCTTTAACCAGATAAACACACATACACAATCACACATACATGAAAACTGACCTATGACAAAGGAGGTACTGCAGATCAGTAAAGAGTGCTATAGACTTTTCAATAAATAGGGCCAACATAATT